TGGGGGGTTGGGGGGTAGATTGGGGGTCTGGGGGGTAAATTTGGGGTCTGGGAGGGGAAATTTGGGGTCTGGGGGGAAAATTTGGAGTCTGGGGGCCAAATTTGGGGTCTGGGAGGCAAATTTGGGGTGTGGGGGGTTAAATTTGGGGTCTGGGAGGGGAAATTTGGGATCCTGGAGGAGAAATTTGGAGTCTGGGGATAAATTTGGGGTCTGGGGGTTCATTCTGGGCTCCTGCAGGGGTATTTGGGGGGGCTTTGAAGGGTTTATTTGTGACTTGGGGGGGTCCTGAGGGTGTAATTTGGGGTTTGGGGGGGGTGGGGTCTGTGAACCTGAGGTTTTGGGGTCCCCCCAGGGCTGGAGGCGCTGCTGGCCGAGCTGGAGGAGGGGCAGGGGGACCCCGAGCCCCCCCAGGACCCCCCAGGACCCCCCCCAGGGGACCCCCTGTGGGAGCAGCTGCGGCGCCTGGAAATTGGGGTGACCCGGCTGCTGCTGCGGGACCCCCAAACGCCGGTGAGGGGAGCTCGGGGGGTTTGGGGGGCATTTGGGGGGGGCTTCAGAGGGGATTTGGGGTCCCGAGGGGGGTTCGGGGGGGATTAATTTGGGTTTGGGGTCCTCGCTGCTCCCAGGTCCTGGCAGGGAACGAGGCCGTTTGGAGCCGACCCCCCCCTCCACGCCCCCCCAGCCCCAGGTGAGACCCCCCCCAACCCCCCCCCCGTGACCCCCAGAGCCCCCCCGGCAGTGAGGGGGGGTCTCAGCACCCATGGGTGCCCCCCACACCCCCACAGGGAGGAGCCCCCGGCCGGGGAGGAGGAGGAGGAGGAGGGGGAGAGACCCCTGAGCCCCGGCGAGCTGCGGGAGAGGGTCCTGAGGGGGGGGGGGCGGGGGGGGGGGTCCCGGAGCCACGGGGGGGTCCCAGACTCATTATGGGGTGGTCCCAGACCCATGGGTGGGGGTCCCGGACCATGGGTGGGGGTCCTGGGACCATGGGTGGGGGTCCCGGACCATGGATGGGGGGGTCCCAGATTCATTAGGGGTGGTCCTAGACCATGGGTGGGGGTCTTGGACCATGGGTGGGGGTCCCAGACCACGGGGGGGGGTCCCGGAGCCACGGGGGGGGGGATCCCAGATTCATTGGGGGTGGTCCCAGACCCATGGGTGGGGGTCCCAGACCACGGGTGGGGGTCCCAGCCCCACGATTGGGGGTCTCAGCCCCCCGGGCGGGGTCCCCCCCCTTTATTCCCGTTATTCCCACAGGTGCTGAGCCGCGAGGGACCCCTCCCCACCCCCCGCTTGGATTTGGGGGTGGTCCCGAGACCCCCCTGAGCCCGCCCCGCCCTCACCGGACCCCTTCGGGGTCCCCCCACCCACGTTCCTGTCCCCTCCCCCCACCCCGTTGCCACGGAAACCGGATAAATATTTGGTTCGCTCGCGGTCGCGTTACCCCCGGCAACGACCAAAACTTCCCAAAACAGCCCAAAACGGCCCAAAACGAGCCTCGGGGGGAGGGGGAAATGGGGGGAGGGGTGGGGGCACCGCCCTTTCCCCCCCGCGGGCTGGGGACACACGTGGGTGCCCCTCCCCCCCCCGGGGACACCCCAGGGACCCCCCAGAGCCCCCCCCGGGCGTGGTGATGCCCTGACGTCATTCCCCGGGACCCCCTGACGTCACACCCTGGCCACGCCCCGGTGGGCACCGCCCGGAGTGACACGGCTGGGACCGGCCCGGCGGAGAGACCCGAACCCGCCCGAGGGGACCCGAACCGCTCCGGACACACCCGAACCGTCCCGAACCGGGAGCGTCCCGCACGAGGGGTCCCGAGCCCGCCCGAGGGAAGCCGAGCCCCCCTGAGGGGATCCGAGCCCGCCTGAGGGGTCCCGAACCTCCCTGAAGGGATCCGAACCTCCCTGAGGGGATCCGAACCCGCCTGAGGGGATCCGAGCCTCCCTGAGGGTTCCCGAACCCGCCTGAGGGGATCCGAACCCGCCTGAAGGGATCCGAACCTCCCTGAGGGGTCCCGAACCTCCCTGAGGGGACCCGAACCCGCCTGAGGGGACCCGAACCCTCCTGAAGGGATCCGAACCCGCCTGAGGGGATCCGAACCTCCCTGAGGGGATCCGAGCCTCCCTGAGGGGACCCGAACCCGCCTGAGGGGACCCGAACCCGCCTGAAGGGATTCGAACCTCCCTGAGGGGATCCGAACCTCCCTGAGGGGATCCGAACCCGCCTGAGGGAAGCCGAACCTCTCTGAGGGGTCCCGAACCTCCCTGAGGGGACCCAAGCCCGCCTGAGGGGACCCGAACCCGTGCGGGGGACCCGAACTCAGCCCAGAACCCATCCGAACTCGCCCGGAAAAGCCCGAACCCGCTCGGGTGAGTGCCGGGACCCACCTTGGGGTCTTGCTGTGGGGAAGGGGGACGCAGGGTGGGGGGTCCTGGGGTGCCCCAGCCCAGCCCCCTCCCCCGGACCCTTGGGGTCCCCTCTGGGGTCTCCCCCGGGTTCCCGGGACCTCCCCCCCCTTCACCCACAGGATGCGGCCAGCGCCCAGCATGGGGGGGGCGGAGGGAGGAGGAGGAGGAGGAGGAGGAAGATTCTCCAAAGCCTTATATGGGCACAGCCCTGAGCGCCCCCACCCCCGGCATGCCTGGGACCCCCTCCTGGTGACCCCCGGCATTCCCGGGATCCCCCGAAGGCAGGGAATCCCCCAGTGACCCCAACAGCCCCATTTCTCCACAGCCCCTGCTGTGTCGCCCGTGTCCCCTCTCTCCTGTGTCCCCTCAGTAGCCTCAAGCCCCCCCGGGACCCCCTCCTGGTGACCCCCGGCATTCCCGGGATCCCCCGAACACAGGGAATCCCCCCCCACTCAGCGCCCCAATAACCCAAATTTCTCCCCAGCCTCTGGGATGCCCCTGCTGTGCTGCTCTCTGCCAACATCCCCAAGCCCCCCCCAGCAGCCCCCCAGCCCCAAAACCCCCCTGATGACCCCCCCATCTCTCCGCAGCCCCCAGGATGCCCCCTCCGTGCCGCCCCCCGTCCCCTCTCCGCTGTGTCCAGGCTCTCAGTGCCCTCCTGGCGCTGGCGCTGGCGGCGGCCCCCGGCTACTGGAACCCTGGGGAAGGTGACGGCTGCTTGTCCGCCTGGGCCTTGTCCTTCGTCTTCACCCTCCTCCTCCTCCTCAACGACGCCTTCCGCCGCCCGCCGCCCCGCCGCGACCTGCCGCTGGCCCTGGCCACCGCCGCCGCCATGGCTTGTGCCACCGCCACCGTCCTGTGGCCGCTGGGCCACCTCCGGGGACAGGAGGGTGGCCACGGCCGCCCCCGCGCCCTCCGCGCCGCCGCCACGGCCGCTTCGGCCATCGCCACGCTGGCCTACGCCGCCGAGGTGACCCGCGACCGGGCGAGGCCCGGCGAGGCCGCCCCGTACCTGGCCACCCCCTCGGGGCTGCTCAAGGTGGCCGAAGCCTTCCTCGCCCTCCTCCTCCTCGGGCTGTCGGCCGAGCTGGGCGCGGCGTCGGGAGCCGCGGCCCTGCGCTGGTGCCTGGGCATCTACTGCGTGTCCTTCGTGCTGGGGGTGCTGCTGGTCGGGGGGTGCCTGCTGGGCTGGGGGTGGTGTGGCTGGATGCGGGACCCCGAGGGGCTGCGCTGGGGGCTGGGGGTCTACGCGGGGCTGGGGGTGGTGGCCTACGGGGCGGCCACGGTGCTGTGGGCGCTCTACAGCTTCTCGGACGACATGGGGGGCCAGTCCCGGAGACCCTACGGGTGTCCCGCTACCTGCTCCTGGGACAGGAAGGTGCTGGTGGCCGTGCTCAGCGGCCTCAACCTGGTGGCGTTCGGGGTGGATTTGGGGCAGACGGGCAGGTTGGTGCTGTTGAGGGCCTGAGGGGGCACTCCCAGGTGAGTGGGGGGTGGGTGGGTGGGGGGTCTTGGGGGGAGTCAGAACCTTAATGAGGGTCTGGGGTCTCCCTCAGGTTGGGATCAGGGCCTTTATGGGGGCCTGGGTGCTCTGCTGGGGTGGGGTCAGGCTCCCAAAGGGGTCCTGGATCTTCTATGGGGCAGAACCTAGGAGGGGTCTGGGGTCCCTTCCTGGCATCCCGATGGGGGTCTTGGGGGCCCTAACTTGGGTCTGGTGTCCCCTCACCCCCAGCTGGGGTCCTGGATCCTCCACAGGGCAGCACCGAACCCCTAGTGGGGGTCTGGGGGTCACCCCAGGGTGGGATCTGGATGCTACGAGAGTCTGGGGTCCCCCCTTAAGATGGAGCCTCCAATGCCAGCCTTGGGTCCTCTGTGGGGCAGGGTCTGGCTCTTATTGGGGTCAGGGGTCTCCAGGGATCCTAATGGGGGTCCGGGGTGGGCTCAGGTGCCCCCCAGCATGAGATCGGGGCCCTTATGGGGTCTGTCCCCAGCCAGGGAAGGACCTGGACACCCTCAGCGGCGTCCGGGATGGGTTCGGGTGCCCAAATGCGTCCTGGATCCTCTGTGGGGCCAGAGCCTCACCCTGAAATGGGATCAAGTGCCTGAGGGACCCCTCCCGATGGGGTATCGGGACCACCAGGGGGTCTTGGGGAGGGGGACACCGCTGAGGCCTTAATTTGGGGGGGTTTGGGGGGAGTGCAGTGTCATTAAAGGGACGTTTCTGCTTCTTAATGAGTGGCTGAGTGTCTGCAAAGGGATGTGGCAGGGGCAGAGAGTGGGGAAACGTGAGGGGAAAAGGGGGGGAAACGGGAAAAGGGGGGGAATGTGAGGGGAAAAAGAGGAAATGTGAGGGGAAAAGGCTGGGAAATGGGAAAAGGGGGGGAATGTGAGGGGAAAAGGGTGGGAAACGGGAAAAGGGGGGGAATGTGAGGGGAAGAAGGAAACATGAGGGGAGAAGGGGGAAACATGAGGGGAAAAGGGTGAGAATATAAGGGGGAAAAGGGAGGGAATGTGAGGGGAAAAGGGAATGTGAAGAGAAAAGGGAGGGAATGTGAAGAGAAAAGGGAGGGAAATGTGAGGGGAAAAGG